ACAAGTATATATAGTTTGTTAATATCCATAAAGTGAGCATTATATATAATCTCTAGTGTTTAAACTTTCTTTGTCAAGCCATAAAAGAAGAAAAATGTACAACTAATAATTGAATTTGAAGTAAAAGGATTAGATAAAAAAATGTTAGGACTTGTTCTGGACAGTTTTGATGTGTCTGAACACATTAAAGCTAACCACTTGTTAGGTAGACAGCCAAGATGGTTCCACCGTAAATAAGAACCTTAAAAAAAAGGATTTAAATATCAAAGTCTATTCCCAGTTTTTTATGACAGTGTGACCCCCAGATAGTAAATTGACAAACAATGATTTATGAGCATAATGAAGTGGTTTTATTTTGGAGAACAAACAGGTTTTGTCAAAACGTATATTATGTTACCACAATGTGTTTCCATACACAAGTGTGATCCACAGTTGACTGAATATCTGTCAGTATTTGTCTGCTGACTTGAACAAATTCTAAACAACCCGTTTTTAAGATGTCTATGAAATTATGTATTATACTGCTAAGTAGCTTTGCGATTGTATACACAGTGCCAATAACTATATTTGAGTGAAAAACATCACTACAAACCCTATATAAAAAATACAGTCCCTATCTGTTTAGAAACGATGGTGTACAAAACAGAAATACTGTATAATGCTTGGAGACGGCTTGAATTGGTAATGAAGAAAAACTTTAATATAAGTTTAACATAACAGCAAATGTACAAGGTTTTGTCATCATCAGGTACAAGTAGTTTACACTGACACGGATATATATATACAGTATGGGACATAGAGGTCACATGACCAGATATTGTTGCACGACTTAGAAGAGGTATCTTGGCACCCCAGGGTGTTGGTTTAGAGTAGGGTTGTTTTGTTCAATTAAGATAGATTCCTTGATTTTTCGTTTATTTACGTTTGGTTCTTTGTTTAAAATGACTGTGTTTTTAATAGATATACTATGGTTTTTGAGTTGCAATAGTAGAAAACAAGTCAATCCACATCCCAGCACACTTGTTGCTTCTCTCTTAGAATTTACAACAACTGAAACCAACTTCATTTTCAACAATGAGCATCTCCTTCAAATAGATGGTTTAGGTATGGGCAATCCTGTTTCGCCCGTTCTTGCCAATATCTTCATGACACAGATCGAAACACAAGTCATACATTCTGCGCTTCATCCCTCGCTATACTGGTACAGATATGTCGATGACACTTTTGCTGGTTTCACTTCTACAGAACACACACTAACTTTCTTTGAACACATAAATTTGAATCATCCCAACATCATATTTATCATAGAACACGAAAACAATAAACAGTTATCTTTTCTTAACCTCAACATTATTAGATCGGACACACAGTTTAAAACTAAAATTCACCGTAAGAACACACACACACACCGGCCTCTACATCCCTTGGAATTCCGCTCATGACACCACACAAAAAATCAATACACTCAAAAACCTCATAAATACAGCTACAAGACTCTGTTCAACTGACTACACAGATGAAGAAATCAAGCACTTAAAGCATTCATTCATTCACACCAATAAATTTCCACCAGCTATTGTTGAAAAACCCTCCGAGAATCCCCACAACAAAACTCAATTCACGAACAAAATTGATACTAACAAACCCAACATCACAGTACATTACACTGCAGTTTACC